CAAGAATACAGTCATTAACTGCAGAAGCCTTGGAAAATCCAGGATAGAATATCAAAAACAATAGTTGCAAAGTTTTCTGAGTTGGTGTTTGAGAACGCCAGCTGTAGAGTCTCTGAAGCATGGCTCCTTGCCTAGATAATAATCGTGGTCTACAGGGCTGAACTAAAAATGGACCATTGAAAATTATTCAATAACTGTGCCAAACAATCATCCAAAATGTTAAAATACTGCCCCAATTCTGAAAAAGTTTGCAAATCATGGAAAATGCAAATCAAATCTAAATGGACTCACTTGAAAAGTCCATTCACTCTCTACTGAACTGAAAACAAAACACATTAGTTGATGTTCTAACCTACACTGCCTGTCCAAAAAAAAAAAAAAAAAAAAGTCTTATTTGGAATTAAATAAGCAAATACTCAAGAGCCTATGATTGAATCATTATTGCAATGATGAATACGTTTCAGCTGGAAATAATTCTTTTAATCCTGACTGATTCAGTGCGCAACTTTCTTACACATTTCATAAACAACCATGTCTAAAGACATATTGTGGTGCCCTGACCGGCTGTGGGTGCCCCACAATGCAGAAGGCCCAATTTCAACACCAGAGGAGGCGACCCTTCTGCAGGCAGAGAAGGCTGGGACAGGTAATGAAGGGAAGGTACTTCCCCAAGGACATGCTGGAGGCCTTCAGCACCTTGGAGAGGGACAACTGAAGGGCCTCAGACAGGGGCCGAGAAACCTTCAGCACCACGGAAAGCGCCAGAGTGGAAAAGTACCTGGGCAGCCTGGAAACAGGCATACGCACTTGGAGCTGCTGCAGGTGATGAGCAGGCTGCCTTTTTATACAGACTTGGAAGGTTACTGGAGAGATCACTCTGGGAGAGCTGTGGAAGGCAACGCGCAACTGTAAAGAATGGTAAGCGGCTGAGGCCAGAACTCGCCATTGCTCACGTGTGGGAGAATGGGAAAACTATACAGAAGACCGGAAGCTTGCGATCACAAGGGCGTTCTTAAAGGGCCAGTAGCCTAATATGCTGTTAAAGTGCTGGCTCACCTCTGTCTACCACCCAGGATTGACCAGAGCCTGAGCCTCGACAACCGCCCCCCACCACTGACACCCTCTTGCATGGACAGTAGGGTGGTCCCGAAAAACAAAATTCAACTTTTTCAAGGTGCCTCTTCATTTTTTGGTTCCTTTAGGGGAAAAAATAAATTAGGTGAAACTTCATGAGATTTGAAAAATATTAACCACTGCCGCCCGGCCCCTGTGTTTTCTGACATGCGAGTGAAATTTTGAGTTATGGACTGGATACGTTAGTTCTTAGCATAGGGAAGACAAAACACATTTCAGGACAGTGGCAGGCAGTGGACGGAAAACTGGTGGGCGGATAACATCCCTTGAAACGGATGAGATTAGTGACCCGATTTCAATCATTGTTCTTGGTCAACATGTTAGTTTCCCTTATGATGAAATGTTTAGGCGAGTGAATAATAAATTCTATAAAATGTTTAATTCACATGCCTTAATAGGCAACTCTTGACAAAAAAACCACTGTGGATTTTCGGCGTTAAATTTTGTTACATCCTAAGCAAGTCGTCAAACCTGTGCGTAATGATTGTTTAATTGAAAAAGATTGAAATGCGCTCTTTTTTCCATTCAACTGGTGCGTTTGATTTCTCGTCTTAATTTTTCTTTCTTATCCTAACGAAGGATGAACAGCAGCGCCAATACCTGCTGCAAGTTTTGAGTGGCATCGACGTCAGTTCCCGGAGGCGAAGAAAATCGGAACCAAACGCCACTCCCCATGACTGTTTGTTTTCTCCAAATAGGTGGACAGTGACATGAAATACTTTTTTATCTCTCCTGTATGGTCAGTTAAAGGAGAAAGGATTGTTGTTTCAATTTGTATTTCATTTGTGAACAGGTACATTACTATTGCTGGTTTGCGCTAATATGCTCAAATATTGCAATTTTCACCCCGCGTGCGGCAGTGGTTAGAATAGTCGTATCGAAATAAAATTTTGCACAAAACATTTTCTCATCAGGATGAACAATTTTGTCAGGAAGCATCTTAAGAAAGTCACATTTTTATTTTTGGCATACTGTAGAGGACCATCCTAATGGACAGGCACCGCAATATCTCATGAACGTTGAAGTGATGTTACGATGTTTCAAGAGGGGCAAATTATTGGCCAGCATCAAGCAAAGAAAACAGCTACGGAAATTGCTAAAATCACTTTTATTGGGTCATTCACTGTCCAAAACGTTTATCAAAACCTAGAGGCATAGCGGTGAACTGTCAACTTTATGGAAGAAATGGGTTGGACAAGGACACCCGTGCATATTTCAACAAGACAAAGTGAAAACCTCATATTGCATCCATTACAAAGTCATGGCTGTGGTCAATGGCCTGCCTGCAGTCCCAGCCTGTGCTCAACGTGTGGAATGCTTTGAAATGCAAAATGAGACAAAGACCTTGTATACCGTTGCAAACCTTAACACTTATTTGCAGGGATAATGGGACAACATTACACCTGAAATGCTTGATCACAGGGTGTCTTCAGTCCCTCAACTTTTATCAAGCGTTATGAAAATGAATGGCGACATTATGAAATGGTAAATACTGTCCTAACCATTTTGAAATGTTTCAAGAATCAAAACTGATATATATTTATTACAACCTCAATTCCGAAATAGTTGGGACGAAGTGTAAATTGTGAATTAAATCAAATGCAATGACTTTCAGATCACATGAGCCAATATGTTATTTACAATAGAACAAAGATAACATTTCAAATGCTGAAACTGAGACATTTTACATTTTTATCTACATAATGAGCTTATTCCAAATTTTCTGGCTGCAACAGGTCTCAAAAAAGTTGGGACACAGGCAAAAAAGAGAGGCTGAGTCTCTCAGAAATAAAGATGGCCAGAGGCTCTCCAACCTGTGAAGGCTTGCATAAAAAAAAATTGTGGAATACTTTAAAAACAATGTTCCTCAACGTCAAATTGCAAGGTCTTTGAAGGTCTCATCATCGACAGTGCATAACATCATCAAAAGATTCAGAGAAACTGGAAAAATCTCTGTGCGTTTGGGACAAGGCCGAAGACCTTTACTGGATGCCCGTGATCTTCAGGCCCTCAGACGCCACTGCATCACTCACCGACATGATTGTGTCATTCACATTACTAAATGGGCCCAGGAATACTTCAACAAACCACTGTCTGTAAACACAGTCTGCCGTGCCATCCACAGATGCCACCTAAAACTCTATCATGCAAAAAGGAAGCCATTGTTGAGCATGATCCAGAAGCGCCGCCGTGTTCTGTGGGCCAAGGCTCATTTAAAATGGACTGTAGCAAAGTGGCAAAGTGTCCTGTGGTCAGACGAGTCCAAATTTGACATTCTTGTTGGAAATCATGGGCGTTGTGTCCTCTGGGCTAAAGAGGAGAAAGACCACCCCTCCTGTTATCAGCGTTCAGTTCAAAAGCCAGCATCTCTGATGGTATGGGGATGCATTAGTGCATATAGTGTGGGACACTTGCACGTTTTAAAAAGCACCATGAATGCTGAAAGATATATAAAGGTTTTAGAGCAACATATGCTCCCCTCCAGACGACATCTATTCCAGGGAAGGCTTTGTGTATTTCAGCAGGACAATGCAAAACCACATACTGCAGCTATTACAACAGCATGGCTTCGTAGTAGAAGAGTCCGTGTGCTGAACTGGCCTGCCTGCAGTCCTGATCTTTCACCGATTGAGAACATTTGGCGCATAGTTAAACGAAAAGTCCGTCAAAGGAGACCCAAAACTCTCCAGCAGCTGGAAGCCTGTATTAAACAAGAGTGGGATCAAATTCCAATGGCTAAACTCAAGAAACTTGTCTCCTCAATGTCCAGATGCCTCCACTCTGTGTTAAAAAGAAGAGGGGATGCTACACCATGGTAAACAGGCCCCTGTCCCAACTTTTTTGAGACCTGTAGCAGCCATCAAATTTGAAATGAGCTCATTTTGTGGATAAAATTGTAAAATTTCTCAGGTTCAACATTTGCTACGTTATCTCTTTTCTCTTGTGATTAAAATACTGGCTGGTGTGATTTGAAAGTCACTGCATTTTGATTTTATTCACAATTTACACTTTGTCCCAACTATTTCGGAATTGGGGTTGTACACAGGCTATTATGATGGCGACCATACCATAATAACCAAACATAAAATCCAAATGCATGAGAACTTTCTAGATTGTCTCTAAGGATATACTCTCTGGTGGCCAGTTGAATTTTGCATTGACAACATTGCAGAAAATGCTGTAGTTATCCCATGTTTAGTGCAACTTCATTCCTATGTTTGTGATTGTAATTGGTATGGTTTTGGCACAGTGGTCTCGCTAATTAGCCCTTCATGCAGTTTCAATGGCACTGGAGCAGCAATTCATTAGCTGCTTGAGCAGCTGAGAAGAACAATGACTTCAAAGCAGCCGCGTTTAATTAAATGTTTGCAAAGTTATTCAAGCGGGATGCTCTGCACCAACCGCAAAGTCAGCCTCCTCTACATAGATCCTTCCAGACAAAGAGCAAGGCAAGGGTGTCACTCTGAAGGAACCAGCAAGAGCTTCATCTACTAAGGCCTTCATGATTGTGGAGGGTGACCCCGGGTAAAATAGCATCGAGCCCGACCAACCCCAGGCCAGATTCTTTGGGTATAGCACTGTATCAAATTCACCTTTGTGCATTTTTCCTCCTTGTGTGAGGCAGGCAGTCAGCCAGAACTGCCCTGCCCAAATGTTTGTTCTTGACCCTGCCACTTACACTGTAAACCCTGATAGTGTGGTGAACTCAAATGTTTTTTGGAAACTGATTTCCTCAAAAAAAATTGTATAGGCCAACTTAATTACATTGTGAGGAAGAAACATAAAGTAAAGAAGGTAAAGTTTTTTTTTTTTTTTTTTTTTTTACAGGTTTTACACAGGGAGAACATGCAAACTCTGCACAGAAAGGCCCCAGGCCGGGTTTGAACCCACGACCTGCTTACTGTGAGGCAACAGTGCTAACCACTGCACCATAAATGTACCATTCATTTTAAGTAACATCCCTTTGCCTGTGGGAATACATCAGCAAGAGCCGTCTGGAACACTTATAAATTCTGAATTTCACTATTCCAGCAAAGAAGCATGCATAATCATAAATGTGCAACACAGTTGTGGTTATTTATTGTTGTCCTCATTGTCAAAATATGTTTTGCAATTAGGTGGCAATGGACCAGAACCCAACCTGAAGGGAATTATATTTGATTAATGTTGATGCAGGCTCAGTGCTAAAAATATGGCTTGGATGTCAGTGCTCTGAATGCGAGACACAACAAAGTATCTGGCTTTTTATTATATTTGTTCATATTCCAACAGATACAAGTTTATGACCTGTTTCACACACTGAGCTGGTGTGCAAGCACTGAAATGTGCTCATTTGGAGATACTTCTATTACATTGGGCATCATAGAATGGATAACATATTGGCAAACTATTGAAGAGATTTTGAGAATATACTGCATTTCTATTAGCCAATTTCTATTCACCTTATTCCTTATTTAATGTCCATTGCTAAACATAAATATGAGGTCTCTCAAATATTAACATGACAAGAATTTAACAAAATTAAAAGAACTAACACAATTTAAGAAGAATTGTCCCAACATAAAAAAATAAAAAATTAATCACCAAAAGTTGTGGACTCTTGTTTCCAGGGTCAAAGATCAGAAGAATAAGTTGCTGTTTGAATCAACAAATAAAAAGTTTTCCTTATCAATTAGTAACAAATTTATTATTTTTGTTTTTAGATATTTTTAATTTGTAATTGGTGTTGCAGCCTTTAATCTTCATATAAAGCCTTTTCATTACCTAAATGATGCATCACCAATGACGTATTAAAATATGTAAAGTGGCAATCGATAACAACTTCTCCCCTGGCGTTTCCAAATGATACTATTTGCACAGCTTTTTGCAACAACAACTATATCGTTTCACATGAAAAATGATTAACCTAAATTTGAAAAGAAGATAAAAGAAAGCAGCATGCTCAGAGATGATGTGAATTGAAATTGTCACTATTTTACATTGAATTTGGGGACAGACAAAAATTATTGTAATGATGTGCCTTTCATAGTCATAACATAGTTTCAGTAACATAATTTTAGTTGCATAGCAGGTTTATGTTCTTTAAAAAAAATAAAAGAATCTGCACAATGGAGACTGTGATAACATACCTTCTGTCCATGGATTTTCATACGATTGGGTTACATGATTCATTTTTGCATTTTCACATGAACAAGTAGATCAGCCTGACATCCAAAGTTATCTCAGACTGATCCAGAATTTTATGGCTGTAGCGCGAATAGAGGACTACAACATAGCTAATAACAGCCAATTACACCAGTGCTGCACAGATGGAATCTGTGAATGTACAACCCTAAATCAGAAAAAGTTTGGGCGATATGTTCAATTCAAATTTAAACTAAAAGCATTGATTATTAAATTACCTTTGCCTTGTATTACATTGGAAAGAAGCACATTTTTTGACATTTCTGCACATTAATTTTACTGATTTCTTAAAATAAACACATTATACTTTTAATCCTTGCAGCAGATTTCAAAAAAAGTCAGAACAGTAAAGTATTCCCCACATAGTAATGTTGACATCCCTTTTCACATTTCTTAATAAATGTTTAGGGGATGAAAAAACCATGTGATCAAGTATATCAGTTGTAATTTTTTTGTCCAGAGAAAGCGTCCCAAAGATCAACTTTGATTACAGTCTCTAGAGAATATAGTCCCTTCTCTCCCCCCCCGCCCCCAGGGCCAGAACACATTATAACAACTTCATCCCCGTGTTGTCATATATCCATATTTTCCTGAAAGCAGCCCTGTGCTTACACACGTGCCCTCTGCCTGGAGTAATCCTTGAAGTTTAGTCTTATGCGTGAACTACCACATTATCAAGACAAGAATCATCAAAGGAAGGAGCAATAGAAGTCTTGGCATGAATGCTAATCGGTCTGCAACCAAGTATGAAGTCATACGCGGGAACATTTCAGAGGAAAGCATCAAGGCAGAGAGAAATGGGACTTCTGCTTTTTCAAGATAAGTGAACAACCAAGTGAAATCACAAAGTGTATAGCCCCAGCATTTACATTAGCGAATACTTGCCAAATTTGGAGTGGATTGTACTGCAGCTGCTTCTCTGGAGAAGAACCCAGACTGAATTTGCATTATTAATATGAACAAACGGAAAGCTGCGCAACACAAATTGTTCTTGCCACCGAAGAATCATTTCTATTCAAGGTGCCTTGCTTAACTCTTTAAGGAGTGAGATAAAAAAAAATTTAATCATGGTTTTTTAAACTGACATTCTAATATCTGACTAGAATTTCTAATTAAGAATGAAACTAAACATGTTCTGGCCTGATCACCACTAGTAACTGAAGGCAATTCTGTTCTTCTAAGATTTGTAGCAATTTCCCTTTGCAATTTCTTTGAAGGGCATGAAAGTCAGTTAATTGGTGCAATTTTTCATTTTCTTCATGAATTTGAAGGCACATTCCTCTTACAAAGACAAAAAATACTGCAAATTATTTCAGTGATTTTGTTGCAGGTAAACTTTGACTTCTTTAAAATCAAACAGCAACACTGTTCTGCACACATTAAGAAAAAAAAACTTAAAACAAGGCCAATTATTTCTTCCCTCAACAGTCCATCATCATAAGTAGAAGAGCAGTTGTTGATCAATAGGCTTGGCACATGTCCAGTTCTCACTCAGACAGTCTGCTTTTTAAAGCCCGGTTTGTGGTGAGTCCAAACAGTATTTGCCAGGCCTATCCAGTGTAGACTCTGGCCGTCAGCCAAGCAAGGGCACCAAATGACCAATATGAGACTTTAAAGACACATTTTTGAGTCTCCAAAAGACACTGCTCACTAGCACCACTCAGGCTGGCTCTTATATGGGTCAAAAATACCCCGTTCTCTTTGGAAGGCAATGGCAATGCAATTCAAGTTAATTAATTTCTTAGCTTAACTAAATACGCACTTAATGTGTTTTATTTGGCAAACAGCTGGGCCATGCCCCTGAAGAGGCCTCATTAAATTTTGGAATGAATGGGTCGAGGTCAAAAAGGTCAAAATCATTTTTTCCCATAACTCTGTCAAAAATGGTCCGATTTACGTCAAACCAACACCAAAGTTTTCTTTTTCAATGGGTGAAATATAGTTGTAATCCTATTGTCATAGTAAAAAAAGTGCATAATTTTAAGATTGGTAGGGGTCAAAGTTCAGGGGGGCTATGGTTCACACTCTCTCCCCAAAACTACTGTAGATTGCCACGTGGTTACTGTTTGACACAAATAGGAAATAATACCTGGAGATTAAAATGCCACCTTGACCTTTGACCGTCAGTAACACTGAAAAGTCAAACTAAATGTCACAAGATTTCTTACAGCTATATCTCAAAAACTACTGTACATAGCCACTTAGTCGTTATTAATCACATAAAGCAACTCATAAAATAATCATCACCATCATCATCACCATTTATCTTTAGTGACCTTGAAAGGTCAAATCCAAGAACACTCGTACCTGAAAAGTGGATCAACTCATTCAACAGCTAAAATACGAAAGAGGGGCAGGGCTTGCCATACCTGGCACTGCATCTTTTTTTTTTTAGTTTTTTGTCCTATTATCTACTGCCAATTGTGAAGCAACTATGCTATATGGTCAACAAAGAAATATTCTGAGGACAAACCAGAAACAGGTTACATCACTTCATCTAACTTGCCTATTGGACCGCTCAGACAAGGCAGCTGTACCGCACAGATTTCAGCCCCTAATTGCACAATAAAAGTGGCACCTGAGAACTGACCTTCTGTGCCCAAAGCTGCTTTTCTCCAAGCCTGAAGAAGGTTGATTGCTGACATAGCCAGACCTCGGCCCGTAGTTTGTATGCAGTCTATTAGGTCGATGATCATCTGGCTCTGGTGTCACACGGGAGTCAAAGGACGTTAGCTGCGTAGAAAGGTGGCATCTCTTCACACACGGATAACCCGCAGTTGTCCCTTGGCTGCCCACATTTCTGTGCCTGTCTGATTTGTTTGACAGGTTGCATAACAGAGATGAGTGAGATGAAAATGCTCCCTGCACAACGCAACAGGCGGATTTAATGGCACCCTACTGGCTGAAAATGGTCACTGGAAAATGATGCAAAGCCAACCCCAGTCAACTGAATCGTCCCCAGCTTTGAGCCAAGCTGCTACCAATTACATGTTGCATGACAGGTTGGCTGGGCACAGTCAATATTGCAACTGTAAGGATTTAATCCCATAATAGATTCGACCATTATATAGGCATGGGCAATACAAATGAATAAAATGACAACATTTCTTGAGTTGCTGAGAAAAAAGTTTTTGTTATTTTCTAATGATTTTTTGCAGGCAAGTACAGAAGACACAGACGAAGAGTTTGCCACAAGTCCAACGCCTTTACAGGAAAGGGTCTCAGAGCCACAGGGTCCCAAAATGGCTGATTTCGCATTTATCAACAAAACCCATTGTGAAAATTGGGGGTGAAGCCTGAGGGCATTTTCGAAAATGCAGTCTATTCAGAAATAAACCTGGCCAAATTATCCATTAGGGTACCCCAACAGAAATAATTGATGCTAAAGTCATCAACCCCTTTTCTGAAGTACAGCAGCGCCCCTAGGCCCTTTTTTAATGGAAAATGCATTGAATTTCACCCAATTATGTTCAACAAACATTAGGTTTTGCATTGATATTAAAAAATGGTATGAATGGGTTGCCTGTGAAGTTTTTTTTTGATCAATGGCCTGCAAAAATGTAAAAATTATCAGTGGGAGGGCAAACATTAACGCTACTCGCCCATTACTATATAAAATGCAGTGAAGTCGCTGATGCCGGCAGTTGTTTGCCCTCCCACTGCTACGAAAATGAATCAAACGTTCCCCTTCAATAACCCGTGGTGATTAAAAAAAAAAAAAAAAACCTTTGCACTGTTTTTTACAATGTCCATAT